AGTTTCTTTCTTCAAATAATAGAGAGAAAAAATACAATAAGACCCACTTCATGGGTTGTAAGAATGGAAGAGCGTGTAAAGTGCCTGGTGTACAGTCAGGGTATTAAGTGGTCTCTATCTTCAGTGCTTCTTGCTAGCATTGAACAGTGACCTGAAGCCCATCCTCTGGGAGGTTGTGGGTAACTGAGAGAAGGGATATTCTCAGTACCGGCAAAGGGAACTATCAAAACAAGAAGGCAGCATCTACCCATCCATTTACCTACCAACCTATTCACCCATCATTTATTTGTGCACTCACCATTTGTGCACCCACCTTTTTTCTCATCCCTCTACCTATCATCACACTTATCCATTCATCCACCAACCCTTCCACCTACCTGCCAACCGAGATCCATCCATCCCTCCATCCACTTACCAGCCTACCATCCATCCTCCACTTACCAACTCACCATTCATCTATCCACCCACCATCCAGCTCATTTATTCATCCATCTATAAACCACGGTTTCTTCTATCTATTCATCTATATATGTATCTGCTCATTTATTTAGCTGTCCACTTATCCATCCATCCATCCATCCATGAATTGATCCTTCACTCACCCACTCAGCCAGCCATCTTTCCACCTACCCAACTACTTTTCTGTAGCACCTACTCAGTGCTAATTGATAGAGAGAAAGAAAGGGAAAGCATAAAACATAATCTTTGCTTTTTTTTTTTTTCAGTACTAGGGATGAAGCCAGGATCTAGGACCACACACACACTTGGTAAGCACACCATCACTAAGCTACATTGCTGGCCCATAATCTTTGCTTTTAAGAACTTCTGATTCTAAGGAGAAGGTGAGATATGATTAGATGATTTTCTCATGTGTGTCTGCCGTTCCCCTCATCAGGCCAGGGTTACCAAAGGAAAGAAATGTGGGAAATGTTGCAGTAAGGTCCTCTCCTGAATGACTCACTCCTCACACTATTAGCACATTAAAAGATCTGACAAGTCCTGCAGTCAGGCTCTCTTCACCACTGTGACCCCAAATGACTTGTCTCTGGACTCTTTTAAGAGGATTTCCTGCTGAGCCAGGGATTTAGCTCAGTGCTGCTGTGCCTGCCTGGCAAGCATGAGGTCCTGAGTTCAATTTCTGGTATCCCCCACAAAAAAGAGGATTGCCTGTTAAAACCCCATGGAATGAGATTGCTTTTGAACAGATTTTTGGGAAATGCTAATAAGCCAGGGAAGGAAGAATCAAGTGTCATTTTAAAAAGCCCACAGAGTGGTGCTGGGTTATATCTCAAAGTATACAACAAAAATTCATGGATCTATCCTGATACAAAGAAATGATGGAATCAGTGAACAAAGAAGAGAACATTCTCTTGTGCAGAATAATTCTGTATAATTTATGTAGATCCTCTGTCCTCAGGGAGGGGGAGTGGAGTCTCTCCTCGTAAGTTTGGGGTATGCGCAGGGACTTCCTCCTAAAGAGGAAGCATGAAGGGAGGGAAGCAGTCACCTTATCATGGAGGAGCCTGACACACGCTAGCTGCTGCTCGGCAGAGGTTAAAGTCAAGAGTGAGAGGTGACACGGACCGTGTAGATGTTGATGTGACACGATGAGGACAGTGCTTTACCTCTGGGCTCATCCTCCCCAAAAGCTCCCCCCGTCTAATTTCAGAAACACATCAGGCCAGCCCCGGTTGTGTACATGCTGTGAACTGCCTGACCATGCTCTGCAGCACCAGCAAGGGCCTCCAAACTAAGTTTGAGACCGCTCCTGCAAATGGGAGCCTAAGAAGTGTGGATGAAATGTGACGTGGCACTTGGGTGGGACCTTGGAATAGAAAAAGGACATTTGGTCAAAACTGTGGCTAAGTGCCAGGCATATAGCTCAGTGGTGCAAGCACCCGCCTGGCAAGAGCAAGGTTCTGAGTTCGATTTCTTCTAATTTTTTGGGTACTGGGAATCGAACTCAGGACCTTGCACTTGCCAGGCAGGTGCTTATGCCACTGAGCTCTATTCCCAGCCCTGAGTTCGATTTCTGATACCAAAAACACCACAAAACAAAAAACCAAAGAACAAATAAACCCTAAGGCCATCTGAGTAAGGTTTTGACTTTAGTCAGTAAGAATGTATCGCCAGTTGTGGTGTCCTGCGCCTATAATCCTAGCACTTGGGAAGCTGAAGCAGGACGATCACAAGTGCAAGCCCAGCATGGACAGTTTAGTGACTTAGCAAGGTCTTGTCTCAAAACAAAAAAGAAAGGGCTGGGGACATAGCTCAGTGTGGAGGCCCTGGTTTCCCAGCATGCACTCAAAGTATTAATATGGGTTAATTCATTGTGACAAACATACCAACCTGATAGAAGATGTTAATAATGAGTGAATTGAGTACAGAGTTGTCAGCTTGGGAGCTGTCTTACTATCTAGATAATTTTTCTGCAGATCTAAAATAAGTTTTCTGGCCAGGCGTGGTGGTGCATACCTATAATCCCAGCACTCAGGAGGCTCAAGGAGGAAGATCGCCGCGAGTTCAAGGACAGCCTGGGATACATAGTGAGCTCAAGGCCAGCCTGAACTATATAGCGAGATCCCGTCTCAAAAAGATAAATAAATAAAATTAAATTAATTTTCCATAAATTTGAAATTTAAAAATTAGTTTGAAAATAAGTCAAATAGACAAACAAGTACAAAAGCTTTGGAAAAGCAAAATGATGTGGGTGGAGAAGAGCCAGGGGATCAGTACGTCCTGCCTCGGAGGAAAGATGTGAAACCAGAGAGCCTGGGGTCCACACCTTATTCACCACCGGACTTTGGGTATGTGGCTCCATGATCCTGAGCTTCAGCTCCCTCGTAAGTAAAATGGGAATTTTTTTTTTTTCTTTTACTAACTGGGGTTTTAACTCAGGGCCTTGCATGTGCTAGACAAGTGCTCTACCTCTGAGCTGTATCCCTGGCCCTTTTGATTTTTTATTTTAAGACAAGAGTCTTGCTAAATTGCCCAATCTTACTCTGAACTTGAGATCCTCCTACCTCAGCCTCCCAAGTAGCTGGGATTACAGGCATGTGCCACCCTGCCCTGCTAAGATGAGGATTTTACTTTATTTTATTTTTTTTTTTTGTCTTTTTGAGACAGGGTCTTGCTATGTAGTTCAGGCTGGCCTTGAGCTCACTTTGTAGCCCAGGCTGGTCTTGAACTTGCAACGATCCTCCTGCCTCAGCCTCCCAAGTGCTGGGATTACAGGTGGGTGCCACCATGCCTGGCTAAAATGAGGATTTTAAAATGCTGCTATTTGCTGGTTTGGATTACATGAGGCAACATATATAAAGTACTAGGCACTAGAATGCGCCAGGACTGTTTGATTTGCTGTAAAATCATTCTTGGCAGAGCACATGGAAGATCGCAGAAGGCTGAAGAGAATGGGGCTCTCGGCACCAAACTTTGGAGAATGAATGGGAAGAATACAGATGGGGCTAGAAATGGGGGGTCAGTTTCTGCCAGTGCAGAGTGGTCCCTTCTTCTCTCCTTGATTCCTATCCTCTGATTCCAGAGCAGCTTAAGTAAGGAGCTAGGGAGCGGGTGAAGCTCAAAGACAGGCTTCTGGCTTCCCACCCCGGCTGCGGCTCTGGCTTGATCTGTCTGCCCAGGTCTCTGGGCTAAGTCATCGCTAATTCCTCCCTGATGAAGCACCTGTACTGTAAGCAAATGAGCTGGCAGGTGGTGGCTCCGGATAAAATATGACCTGCCCAGCAGGGGATTTGCTTACCAGTCGGAGGCAGCCCATCCTGCTGCCTGCAGCCGGAGGCCTCCTGGATAAAGCATAAATCATGGTGCCCACAGGGCAGGTGGGAGGGCAGGAAACACCAGAAGAGTGAATTCTCCCCTGCTCAGTCTCAAGTTGCAGGCCTAAGGCCACCTTTCTTAGCAGCTTGCGGGAAAGAACCAGGTGTGGGAATTAGGAGACAGAGGGAGTTCATCCTGGCTTTACCTGATTTGCTGGGAAGCCTGGGGCTAGTACCTTTCCCCCTCTGGGCCTTAGCTATCAACTCTCTCACATAGGAGAGATTTATTATTCCTTTTTTTCTCTTACGGGTTTGTTACAATGAATCCTAAGAGAAACTGTATGAAACATACAATATTTGTTATCATCTCTATTATTACTATGTTGTTACCATGTGGTTCCCATGGAAGCCCCAATTAGCAGAGCTCAGGGGCTGGTAAACTTCTAAGGGGCTGGTAGCTTTAGGGAAATACCTTCAAGGCTATTGTACCTATTGGCAGAAAACCGATCAGAAGAGTTTTCCAACCAGGCAACATTACATATGGAAAAGGCCAGGTTCTGGGAGCACCAGACCTTGAATCTCACAGTTGCCACTCAGTGACTGAAGGGACTTGGGCGGTTACCTTCCCCTTCTAACCCCTAGGAAAGCAGAGGAATATATACTTTTAGTGTGGTTTGCAGGATGTCATTCTGTTATACCTGCACATAAATTGTAGCCTCATAGAGGGTTCATTCTTCCCTTATGCAAAGTTTTGGCTGAAGCAGGCTTACAAACCAGATTTCCTAACTCTCTACTCAGCTTTTTGCAGGGAGCTGAGAAAGCTTTGGGGGAATCTCCAGGCCTCTGTGAGTTGAATCACATCGTGGTCCCTGCCCCCTCCTCCCCAAGAGACTTCCACCACCTAGACCTGGAAGAAGACCCCTTGGGAAGTGCTCCAGCTTAGGGGCTGTGGGAACTGCATGATGAAGACGGAGCCGTTTGCTAATACCATGTGGCTGCTGTGACAGTCTGTTAATGCCATTTACAACGTGCTGTAATTATGTCTCACACATGCTGGCGGCCCAGCCAGCAGAAACGTTCCCTGGGAGGGACCTGGAGAGATTCCTCTTAGCAGGGTGGGAGGCTGGGTTTCCTAGGAGGTTGGGGGCTTCGGGGGCTACAAGGAGAACAAGATACCTCCCTTGATCTGGCAGGACCTGAAGTTGGGAGGCTGCCATCCACACCTTTGTCCTTAAGAATGTCCCCTGGGGTTATGCATTGAACAGCCTGTCCACCCTACTTGACTGCCCTGGGCACCTCTGGAAGAATTCTCCCTCCTTGAATCTGTGGTTCTTACTCTGAATTGCTATAGAACTTTGGGCAAATCATGGTGCCCCTCAGTTTTCCCTTCTATAAAATAGGGATGTGGGGGAAGATGAGAGAAATGTACTAGAGCAGTAATTCATGTCCAGCCAAAATGTTTTCTGCAATTTTAGGGGACTCTCAGGCCACTGAAGTCCACCAAGAAGCTTCAAGGACCCTAGGTCAAGAATCTCAGTCCATCACTGGGGACCTTCTGCCAGCCGATTCCAGCCTGTTTCCCCATCTGGGCTCCAGCGCTGCCATCTGCCAGATGTTGATGCCATGTTGTTTGGCACATAGGAGTTCACAACAGCTAGCTGCTCACCTGGATTGGGCTTCTTATCATACAGTGCCCAGGTTGGACTCTTATGCTTCTTGCCCTGAATTTAATGGGCCAGCTAATTCCTGCAACACTGTCCAAATGTTGGCATCCAAGGTCCTTGCCATTTGGTGATGCTTAATGCTCTCCAGGTCTCATAGAAAGAGCCCCGCTCTGCAGCCAGACAGGTCAAAGAAGCCTCTCTATAATTCCTTGCTGGCGAACCACATGGTTTCTCTGAGCCTCAGTTTGCTTTCCAGGAGGTGGGTTGTCCTCAGAGTCAAATAAATCTATGGCCTGCAGGTGCCTAGAACAGAGCAGACATTCAATACATGGTGATTTTTCTGCCACCATCATCCTACCACCCCACGGAACTCAGCTCCTCCTCTTCCTTCCTGGAGGGGCCAGAAAACAAGTCTTGGGGAAAAGCTCTCAGGACCAGGGAAGCCTATTTCCAAGTCATTAGTCCCCCAGTGCTGGGCTGCAGGATGGATTTTGATCAAGAGCAGGGTGACATTTGGCAAAAGTTGCTGATGAGGGATTGAATGATTAATCGTCATGACAACCAGGCTGGAGTAATGACAGGGATGCGATGGTGCCCGAGTTAAACACAAAGCGGCCCCGTGAGCCGGGGCGGTAAATTACTAGGCATGTCACTGCTGCGCTTTTGGAGAAAGCGGCCGTGCGTTCCTAATGAGAGGTTAACTGTGTCCCCAAAGTAATTACAGCCAATTGAAGAGGTGGCTGGTAATTAGAGGATTAGAAGCGATGAGGCTCACCTGCGTGGTTGCCATAGTGACGGGGATGGGTGGGGCAGGAAGGCGAGGAGGGTCCGGATCTTTTCCCAAGGAAGGTGGAGGCACCTCCTTGCTTCTATCGGCTTGGTGTCCACCACCGCTGGGACAGGCCCTGGGGAACTGGTGGGAAGCTCCGTGGCTCAGTCTTCCCATCTGTAAAACGGAGGGCTTGAACTCATTCAAGAATATAGAATATCAAAGCTGAAATTCGGGAACCGGCTAGCAGAGCACAAATAATAGTTAATTTGCATCCTCCCTCCAAGGCTGGCCCTGCAGGAACCCAGGGAATCACAAATTCTACTTCTTGACTGAATGACTCAGAGCTGATCATGAACCTCAGTTTCCTCACGTTTAAAATGGGAAGAATAATTATGATGCTTTCTTCCGAGGACTGTTGGGGGAATAAAATGAAATCCTAACTGCTGAGAACCCAGACTAGTGCTGGGCAAGGGGAGCTCTACAAAGGTTCACAGTGACAGTCACCTCTACCATGACCAATCTCCACTGAGCTGGGGGAGCCGGGACCAGGGTGGGCACATGGGCCCAATCCTTCTGCTGGGGAATGAGCTGAGCCGTCCCACACATAACAGAGCACAGGGAGCTCTGAGACAGAGAAGGAGGCAGTGCTTCCTGTGCTTCCTTGCTCAAGTCCCACTGTCTCTCTGAGTCTTCCAGGCTTGCCTGCCTGACCATTCTGCTGGGAGAAAGCAAAGAAATACTGGATTTATGGAGCGCTTACCACGGACTACACCCTCTCTAGATACTTTAGAACTATTATTTAATTTGATCCTATTAAACATTACTTTGTCCTTTTTTGAGAGAAGAAAAACCAAGGGCTCAGAAAGGTGAAATGTGCAGTCCGGAAACACACAGCTGGCACACGGGAGAATTAAAACTCAAATCCAGGTCAGACCAAATCCCTCACGCTTTCCATCATGTCACTGTCTTGTTCACCCCAAGAAGCCAGGGCCATCAACACCAGGGAAGTGGTCACACCCCCAATGGGTGGAGCTTCGGAGAGGGCTCTCCTGGGATTGGGCAAGGTTTTTATGACATCACAAGAGTAGGGTAATCTTATTGACCTGCATAGGCAGCTGCCCTGGCTGCTGGTGGAATCTCCACACCCCAGGGACAGGTGTGAGATGCTGGGGTTGGGAGGTGACAGTGACTGTCCCAGATCTGTCCCCAGTTTAGCTGCTGGCAGCACAGGCCTCTGTGAACCTGCCGAGAGCAGTGGCTTAATTATTCCATCCATAAATGATAAGCCCCATTCATTTCCAGAGCTTCATGACAAATTTATTGTCTTATTTAATGTGCTTGCTGCCTAACCTTCCCAGGCATCATGGGGAAACCCAGGCCTTTTCCTGAGGAGGCAGCAGGAGGTCCTGGCTGTAGTACCCACTGGCCATGTGCCTCTTCTCACAGTTCCCAAGAACTATGGGGGCTTCTCATCCCAGGTGGCCTGGCCCCATGCACTTTGCAAACCCATTTTTCTCTGCTTTGCTTCACTGTGGAGGGACTGGAGCATAAAAGCTAAGGACAGAAGATCTAGCCAGGCCTGGAGGCCATGGCTATAATCCCAGCATTCAGAAGGCTGAGACAGGAGGATCACCAGGAGTTTGAGGTCAACCTGAGCTACCTAGTGAGACACTGTTTAAAAAAAGAAAAGAAAAGAAAAGAAAAGCTAAGATCAGGAGATTTTGAGTCAGAAAGACCCAGGTTCAATCCTGACTGCTGGTTCTGTCCATGTGACCTTTAGCCCAAGTTTTGTCTCAGCTTCCTGCTTAGGAGGATGAAATGAGATAAAAACAGACAGGAAATGCTCATTACGTACTCAAGGTAGGAAGTGTCTGCTCCTACTTGGGGTTTTCATGTACAATTTCATTTGATATAATTTTCTGGGAGGAGGGCACTGCTTAGGGGCCTGGTGACCCTGAGATGGGTCACTTCTGACCTGTAGAGGGACAGCTAACCTGGGCCACTGTGCTGTGCTTTTGCTCTGAGCAGAGAAACCCATAGTAGTGCTGGCTGCAGGAGCTCAGCCTGGAGTCACCAGGGGTCTAGGTTCCACCATTAGCCCACCCCTGCTTGGGGCCGGTTGGGGTGACCATTGCCTTACTCTGAGCCTTGCTTTTCTCATCTGTCCCTGGACCTGTGTTCATAGTTGCCACAGGCCGGAGGATCCAGCAAGGCCAGGAATAGCAGAATCACCATTTGGGGGCTGAGTTCTGAAACCTATAAAAGGCCCCCCAGTCCACATGACTGATGGAATCTGAGGCCAGTGGAGGAAAATCAGAGAGATACAGGACCTCGGAGCGGGCAGGGATCGCAAAGAACACCTCTTCCCGGCTGGATGTTCCCCACTGAAGAAGCTCATGACGTACCACCATGCACTGAGTACTTATTGTACACAAGGCACCAAGGTTGTAGCTTACCATCCACTGTCTGCTCACTTCCACCTCAACAAACATGGGCCAGGTGTGGCTCATGGAATTTTGAAAATTTTAATATTTTGAAAACAGGCCTCCAAATTCAGTTTTACCCACGTGGCTGCAGTAGGGGAGTCTGCATATTTGTGCATGCATTCCCATGTTTGTATGAATGTGGGTGCCCGTGCATGTGCCAGTGTGTGCATGCATGCAACGTGCCATACCCATGCACACCATCCATGGAACACACCTCCTGACTACCTGCCCAGAGTTGTTTGGCCGGGGCACCTTTAAATAAATAGCTGATTGGAGAAGGAAACCTTTCAGCCTTGGTAGTCTCTGGCTTCCCAGATCTTAAGACATTCACTTAATTTGCATGCTCATTTGCATGACAGGGCAGTACTTCCCTCCACAAACAGCCTCCAGCCTGGCCAGCGAAAGATAACGCCGACCTTTCCACTGCCCACAGCTCTGCCACCTGCCACCCGCTCCTGGTGCGGGTTGTGTAGTCCCCCACCCCAGCCAGGGTCAGGCTGCCAGCAGGTGGCAGAGCCAAATTCTGTTTCTTAATCTGGGGACTCCAGATTCAGTGTTTTTTCCATAGTTCCATTCTGCCTGCAGCCTCCAGGTGGACATGGAGGTGTGGGCAGACAGGGTGGAGGTCAGGGAGAACTGCAGAGCTTGTCTTTGACCTGCTGGCTCAGGAGGAGGAGAAGCGACCTCGGAGGAGGGTGAGGCAGGGGGACTCTGTGTGTTTGTGTGTGCGAGCATTTGAGGGTATCGTGAATACATGGGTGTGGAAAAGTATGTTTAATGAACTTTTCAGCAGAATGACAGGGAGCCTACTCTGCTTCAGGTACATGACAATACCTACATTACAATATATATCTAATCCTTGTGGTGCACCAGGCAAGGGGATTTCATGAACTCTAATTCTCAAAACAATCCTGTGAGGTGGGTATGGTTACCATCCCCCTCCTTACATATGGAGAAACAGCACAGCAAGACAAAGTAACCTGCACAAGGTTACACAGCTGACGAGTGGTAGTTTGGAGATGCCATCGGGCCCGTCGTTCCCGGATCCAACCATTACCATTCAGGAGACCTTGGGAATCTGCTGCGCTGCTCCCAGCACGACAGAAATATGTAATTGTGTGTGCACACATGCTGCACATATGTATGCATGTACAGGTATGAATGTCCATGTGCACGTATTTGCTCACACATGCATAGGCATTTCAGTATGCGCATATCCATGTGAAGGCTCCTGTGTGTACATAAGGAGTATGACTGTGTATGTATGTGTGAATTGTGTGTGTGGATGCAGGTGCTGTGTCTGCACATACATTTGAGTGTATACAGGTGGATAAGAGGCTGGAAAACCACATCCCAGGTCAGCCTCACTGCCAGTGCTCTGAGAGCCCTGGGAAGGTCAGGGTTGCACGTGGAGGGAGCAGGGTGGGGTTTTGTGTAGTTAGAGTTTAAGAACTCTTGGTGCCTGGATTGGGAGAAGGAGACCTTCCAGCTGCACATACCCGTCTTCCTGGCCTCCAGGAGACATTAATAATAGATCAGCAAATTCCAAATGTAAATAGGGCAATCAGGCCCGAAAACACAGACATTCATCACCCAGATACAAATTATGCTGCCGGCCTTGATGTAATTACTGGAGTTCAGCTCGATGCATTGAGCCACCCCTGCATATTGCTTTGTGCTGATGTCTTCCCCTGAGGAGACCCTACTACCTGACCCTGCAGGGTCTCTCTGGCCATGGCCAAAGGTCTTAGCTCTCTTACAGGAAGACAAAAGATCCCTGAGATCCCAAAGCTTCAAGAGTCATGGTGGGGGTGCACCAGACAATGAGTCAGATGCCTGGCTCTTGTTCCAGCTGTGTGACCCTGAGCAGGTCACTCACTCGTCTCAGTTTACTCTTCCATCCAAAGGAAATAATAAGATAGTATAAATATTAGAGTCTTTGGGCTTTGTGATGAGAAGGGCTTGGGTTTGAATTACAACCTTACCACTCTAGAGTTTGTACACCTTGGGCAGGTGTCTTCCCCATTCTAGGATCCAGCTTCTCCAACTTTTAAGTGGGTAAAATGATGCCTGTCTCACGGGGTTATTACAAGAAGTGAAATATTTTGTTCTTTTCTCTGATGAATTTAACTCATTTACATTTATTGTAATTGTATTATTGTAACATACATAAAATATCTGCAATATATCAAATAACTATCTCCATCTGCATCACTCTAACTACGTATATCATAAATTATGTTACTATGTGGCTGGGTGCTTTCTTGCCACATTTGTTTGGATTTCCTATTTATCAGGCTTCCAGATATTTTCTTCTTTCCTGTGGAGGTTTATTGGTTATGTATTGCCCTAAAACTTAGGGACTTGACACCACCCACATTTAGTAGGGCCAAGGGCCTAGGAGTGGCTTGCTTAGGTGGCTGTGGCTTGGTGCTGCATGAGGGTGCAGTCAAAAGCCTGGCCAGGGCCACAGCCATCCGAAAGCTCCTCTGGGACTGGAGGTTGCACCCCCAAGTGACTCCCTCCACATTTTCCCCCAAGAAGATTGCTTCTTTGGGTGCTATGGCAGCTGACTTCTCCTGGAGAAAACAATCTTCAACTGTAAGACAGAAATTGCAACATCTTCAATGACTGAACCTTGGCAGTCACAATATGTCACTTCTGCATTTGGAGCCCCAGCTACCTGATCTCACTTGTGTGAGACCGAGCCATCATGTGTGTACATCAAGTATCCCAGGCACCAGGAGAAAGTCATTCATTTCTGTGACCTCCATGCCCAGCACTGGGCCTAGGACAAAGTAGGTGACAGCAATAATGTAATGGCTAGATGAAGCATGGGTTAGAGCAAAATCTGGTCTTCCTTCTCCAAGCCATTTCCTAGAAGCCAGCAGGCCACTAGAAGCCTATGCTGTCTGTCCTTGCTACTGCCCAGGCCTTGGCTTCAGAAGAGCTGAGGCTGTAAGGCCGGTAGCACTTGCTTCCTTGGAGGCAGAGAGAAAAGTCTAGACCAGAGGCATTTTCCAGGCCTGTCTCGTCCTAACTTTACATTGATCAGTAATTAAACACAGCCTCCAATTACTATAACGTTTGGCGAGGCACCAAGCTCGTGTAAAACCTCGCAGTAAACATCTGCCTTATAAATTGCCTCTCAGAGCAATGCACCAACAGGGTTCTCGGGGGGTGGGGAGAGCAGGAAGCAGAGAGCTGGCAGAGGGAGGAAAGTCTCAGGAGAGAGACACAAAAAGAGGGGTGAGAGAGGAGGAGGAGAGGTGGGGGAGACTGCCCTTCCAAGAAGCAGTGGGACATGAAGGGGGCCCATTCATTCCTCCATGGGACCTCACCGCCCTGCAACGCAGAGGCCTGGAATTGATTGGGGAATCCTCAGCTCTTCCGGGATTTTTGTTAAGAGCTACGCATAGATCTGATGCAAATGACTTTTGTGTTGCTTTTTATTTTTCCAGAATGCATAACATCCCACTCACCTGCCATTTGCATTTAAAGGGAGAGCCACGAAGATTTATTTGCTAGCCTAGCAGCCCCT